AACTTGGCCCATGAACAAACTTGTCGGCCCCTGTCAACTCGGCCCTTATTGACTCATAAACAAGTCGACGAAGAGCTGGGTTGAATCGATTCCTGTAGTATAATGTATCTTCTATATTGAGGGATCTCTGGAAAGACTTTAAAAAGAGATTAAGCATGGAATTTACATCACTACAATGCTTATCAATTTGATTCTTATCTGTAAAATGAAATTTAATAGGTTAAAACTCGTAGAGAGTACAGAACCTCTTTGTGTTACATTTTTATGTCATAGTTTTTAAAGTGAATCCAAATTGATGACAAAAAATTCCATTTTTAATGATAATGATATTTTATCTGCATTTGAACAGTTCTTTAAAATAACTTGGCAAAGAGTTATTTTTTGTTTTGTTTTAATATAAAAAAAATATGACTAAAGAATTCTTTTCATATGTTATGCTGTAACGAAATAAAGTAGATAGTGATAGATATTGTATCAACACCAATTGTTGTATTATGTGCTTCATGGATGTAGCTTTATCACATGACACATTTCATGTTGGGAGGTCACATAATATCATGGTTCCCTCTTTCCCCAGGAGCTTCCAGCAAAGGCTTCCATACACAACGCTGTCAAACCTGGCCTCGGCCCTCCTTGACGGAACTGTCTTTGAAATCGTGCAGTATTTAGAAGAGATTCAACATATGCAGGAAAAGAAATTGCTGGATCAACGGTCAAAATTGATTAATTCCGTTAAAGGTTAGCATTCCTACAAGACTCAGTGTTGATTTACCTTATAAATTTGTTGATTAGTTATTTTTAGTCTTTAACCAAATGTCCCTAAAAAGGGGCTGTCTGTATAATCAGTTAGAAGGAAATGTTTATCTGTCATCATAAATTAAATAATCTGAGAAAAGAAATTTTTATGTCAACATTTTTTGTCTCTAAAATATTTTTTGTTATATACTGCCCTCTATAGGGATAAATGAGTTTCTATCTGGTACAGTATTTAAAAATGCCTTAAGTTTATTGTATGTATATTTAGATTTATACTACAGTTATATTATACACTTTCCATTACAATTTACTTCCTCTGTTTGATGGCACTTCTGGGACTTTTCATTATAAATGAAAATCATTGTGTTGAAGTTGATAATAATTGAAAATTATTGAGAGTTTTTCTGTTGTTTATTTACAGCTCAAAAACAGGAACAAGCAAAACTCCACCAATCTCAGTTATTATCTTGTCAGAATAGACCACATCACTTGCCAGTCGTCAAGGCAACCAATGAAAGAGAAAAACAGGTGAATAATGCCCAAGAATTCTTGAGTTTTGAAAAAATATCATTTTAAAGTAATTCTTAATGTTTCAGCGAACACTGCTGTTGATTCTTATTATGAGCATTATTTAATTTAGTGTTATTTTAAAATTTCAATAATTTATTAGTCATTTTTATTACGGTATATATCAATGTTAATATTAGTATTGTGTGTTTTTATTACTATTATTAATATCAAAATTAGTATGTATGTACTAAAAATTACTGCTCTTTATAATTTGTGTCTTACTGAAAATAAGTAATCATTAACGTGACAACAAAAAACCCAATGAATACAGTTTTTACTTCCCTTATCACTGTTTATTTTATTTAAATAATATTGATTCACATATTTATTTATTTATTTCTTAATTAGTAACAAGAATATAATGTAAATAACAAACAATCTATGATGCTGGCAATCAGCAAAATGCTCAGTGTCAATATACTTTACAAAGAATACAATTTTACATTCTTTGTCACTGTTAATTAAATAAATACAATACTAATTTAATTATTTACATGAATATAATGTCAATATGTGTAATATTTAAAAGGTTATGATAACAATAGACAATTAATATCTATATTAATTAACAAAGAATGCACTTTAAGATACTTTATAATTGTTAATTAATAATAATAATACTAATTAAATTAATAACAAGGATACTGTACTATGTCAACAATAACAATTTGTAATCTTATGATGGTAATAATTTGTGAAAGTTTCCAGTGGAAGTAATTTTTTGGTTGATTAACATAGAACCTAGGTTTACATTCTTTCCTCAATGTGATTAACCATTTATCACTGTTAATTAATTACCAGAAATACAAACAATGATATATTAACAGTAACAAAAGTTATGCAATACCATTTATAATGATGGTATAATTATTAAAACTTTCCTGTAGGATTAATTTCTATATTTAGCTATCAAAGATTACATTTTTACCTCCTTTATTCCTGTTAATAAAAACATTAATAATTCAATTAATAGCAATGATATGGTGTCAACAGTAACGCATGAGTGATTCTGTTCTAGCGTTGTGTCGTCGCACAAATCAAAAGCTCCCTATCGACTACCAAGAGTACACTTGCATTCTTTATCACTGCTACTTAACAATAATTTGTCTGATTTTGAGAATGGTGAACAAGGTGCAGGCCCATGACCAGGGAGGTTTCTATGGTTCGGCTGAAGCCCTTTTTTGAGTGCACCCCTACTGGAAAAAAACCATACCACCCCCCCCCCNNNNCCCCCCCCCTTCTTCCTTTGCATCAAATACCATCAAAATAATAACATTCGCCATTTACATGCCAGAATTCTTGGGCTCCAGGTGCCATCATCCCTGTTGCCCACAACAGCTCTTTCTTGGGCCCCCACCAGGGCATCTACGTTCCTCCAACTCTCATAGTAAACAACCAACCCCCATTAAGGAATCCTTGTTACTAGCCTGATGCGCTTGTCTTACAATGTCATGGGTCAGGGGTTCAATGCCTGTAAATGACCGGATTTTTCTTCCTTTTTTTTTATATGGCTTCAGATATAATCTACACAAGAAAATCTTTGTCGCTGATAATTTTCATTCATTTTTTTTTTTTTTTTTGGTTCATCTCCAGGCTCTTGATGAGAGGCTTCAAGAAGAGGTTCAAAAATTTGATGAGAAAATTGTCCTTCAATTGGACCAGCGGGCTAATGAGCAGCAAGTCACGCTTCAGCAGAGCGGAGTTCTTGGCTTTTTCCCAACCACGAACCCACAAGAAATCCGTCTCCAGATGTACCTGTTAGAGTTTATCATCAAATTGCGCAATAAATATCATTTAGTCACGTGACAAGAAAGATTTAAAATCGGTGGTAATCATCATGATTAAAGGTTGAGACCAAAGGATTCTCTTAAAGTGAAATATCCAGAGATTCGAGTCCTTATTGGCTAGACACACAAGCTGAACATAACCTTGTGCTATTAAAAATGATAACAAAGTATAGCTGTCTCAGAGCCACTTCAAACTAGAATCGTTTAAAATATAGAAATATTTAATGAATACAAATTAATATGATTTTGCCACCTTTGCACTTTGAATGAAATTTAAAAAGTCGTAATGCCATGTTTAGTCTAAGAAGAGAATATACTTTTTTACCAATAAGTTTATGTTAATATTTTTTTATGTAAAAAATTGCCTTATTTATCACCTGAAATTCGCAATAAGTATTATGTATTATCTATGATAACTTTATAGAGGCTATTTATTGTGTTCCTTGCATGGACATTAGGGAAGCACTGAATGTGAGAGCTTGTCAGAATAAAAAGAAATAATTACATGTATAAATGTGTATTAGATATCTTAAAATAGAGTTACCATGGTTAACATCATCATCATCATGGCCGGCGGAACCAGGGGGGGGGGAGGGTGTGGCGGGGGAACCGGCCCCCATCCCCCACTTTTTTGCAGAAAATATATTTTGTCTGCAGATTTTTGTATGATTGGAAGGAAATGGTAGTGCCCACTTTTGAAAAACGTTGTGACGGCGCAGATCATCATCGTCATATCATCATACCGTCACCATAACCATTGCCATCATCATATCTTACAGACCTATACTATACTTTTTTACATAATTATATGTATGGGTATGTGTGTACATGATCGTCAGGCCCTATCTTGTGGGTTGTTTAATCTGGTTTCTTTATAGACTCTATGTCGACTATCTACCCTCATTTCGCTACGAAATATTATGTGGTCTCTGTTAGTTCAGTTGTTCAGATTACACAAACTATAATAATCGCATTTAACTGACGACATAATCGATCCGTTTTGCAGGTGCTGAGATCAATCAGAGTATATGGGGAAAAAAACACTAAAGAAACCTTTAATAATCTCTCACCATCTAAAGGTCGATGCTAGTAAGGCTCTTCATATTTACATGATATTGCAAATTGAGCGTGCTATCAGCGGTTTGGCCTTGTGGTAAATAAACTAGCATTGACAATGAGCAGATTTCCTGCATATAGAAGACAAAAAGTCGGGGGTCGGGAACGTCCTAATTCTAAGCCTATACGTTTCCTTTCAGTATTGATGAAATTCCAAAGAACTCTCTTATTCTGGTTATGATGACCTCAATAGCTGTCTAATTTGATGTTGTCAAGAAATTTAGAACATTGTAAACTAAGCAGTGAATTGCATCGCGCTGAACTAATACTTTTGAACAATAAAATTCAATATATGAATTGCTTACTTTAAGTATATTACCTTGAAATTGAAAAATAAGAACAAGAAAATATTTCCTCTCCAATTAAGTGCATAATCGGCCCTATAATATTGACCCTTCAATTGTCTGGTAATGAATTTATGTATTTTTATAAAAACAAAGTTGTATTGTTTTAAACAACTAATATTCCTTTATGTATGTATGTAGATAATAATACAGTGCTGAAATATATAGGAACATGATGTTATGATTTGTATCAAACATGTTTGATTACTTACTTACTTTATCAGCCATTGTCAATCCACTGCTGGCCTCAGTATGACTTTTCCAAAGTTTCCGGTCTTGTGCAATGATTGACCAATTACAGGTTTTCCAATATTAGTCTATCTCGTCTCTACATCTTTTCCCTAGTCTTCCCCTTTTTCTTTTTCCTAACATGTTTTATACGATTTATAATACCATATCATGTTTGATACGATTTATAATATCATATTCCTATATACTGTATTTAAGCACTATTATCTAGTTGATTTATACATTGAGTTCCCAGTGCTAAGCAGGAACTTGAATTTAATATTATTTATATATATATATATATATATATATATATTATATATATATATATACATATATATTTCACACTGACAGATTCCTCTTCTCTAACGTTCAAAATTTAAATATAATGATAGCATTACCATAAGACGGTTTAGAGTTCATCTTTAGTATATAATGATGATATATAGAATATATAATGATTATATATAATATATATATAATCATTGTATAATAGTACATAATGATTATATATAACCATTATCTCTAACGATTATATATTATATATACCGTATATAGGCCCTACATAAGAATGCATAAAATCATAAATCTGCCAAACATACATTTAAATCGGTATAGGATGTGGTAAGAATGATTGATGTATGATGCGAGAGATAAAGTTATTTTGGTTGACAATTCACATCCAGTCAATTAAAAACGCTATTGACGAATCAGATAGAAAATCCGGCGAGTTTGGCACAGAGCGGGGCTAAGCATTCAATGAGATAAACTTTTAACAGCTGACATCTCGAGGGAAATTATTCTGCATTTGTGTAACTGAAACTTGTTTCGGAAGTTACATCCCAAGAGGGCGGTTGTGTTACATTGGGGCGTATTACTTGTAATAAGAACTTCTTAAAAACAAAACAATATCACTAAGATATAGCATGATAAGTCTGCATGTTCTTCTATCTACAACTATATAGTTATTAAACGACACAATATTATTATATTAAATATTAAAAAGTAATTATTTTACTATAATATCATTATAATATATTATAATTTTATATATTTATTTGTTCTTGTAATATTTGCATTGGCAATACAAACACACCATAAACACAATAGATACCGGTATATAATACAGGAAAATAGTGTACAGTAAATATATCTTTGTATCTTACAGGCTAAATATATTTGTAAATACAAAATAAAAAACTATATTAACATTAACATTAAACATTAAAAACAGGAGCGTAAAGTAACATGTACATAGATATTCTGTAGAATATTACATTGCGCGATTTACTTAAACGAATCATCATGTCCTCTAATTCTTAAGTTTAACAATGATTCATGCGTCTTGTAAAGATCAATCATGGAGGTAACAGTTGTTTCAAGACGCCGCCAATAAGCAAAGTTTTATACCTCTATGCATGAAGTAAGTGGTTACCGTCAGGGATGCAATAATGCCTGAGACAGTAGAATATTTTCGTCGGCACTAAGGTATCCGTAAGTCTGAATTAGGCCTAATACTATGCTGAAATTTATTGTATGATGATATACCGGATAGGCGGAGATTAAATTAAATTTCAAACTTAATCTTTGACATTTAATCATGTCCGCGTACCGTAGCTGAATAGCTTATGTGTGGGAGTTCGCAGGGAGGGAAAGAGAGTGGGGGGGGAGGGGGGGGGGGGGGGTTACAGTTTTTGGTTCGAGTGGGATGAAAGAACTTATGGATGTGCAACAGTAGAACTACGTTATCTGTAACAAGGAGATCCTTTAATGTCACAGTGACCAACATAGGTTCTCACTTTCACACATTAGGCATATCCATATTAAACCTTTTAGTGACATAGGCCAATTATTTTGTTATCGCATCAAATTAAAATTATAACGCTTATTATTATTGTTATTATTATTATTATTATTATTATTATTATTATTATTATTATTATTATGATAATTAATTTTGCGCTCTCATTTATCCCTCGATGTATGTTATAAATGAAAAATCCTGAGCTATTCCCATTATTTTTGGCTGCAAACTGAGCGGTGTAGCCACATGCGCAACTAAACGCGCCCTCTGACCTGCTGCCATATCATACGCGCGTCTATGACGTAATCCGCAAGAGAGAAACAAGTGGATTAGAGTTTGCAGAATGAGTCAATAGATGTAATAACGTCCTGGAAAGAATGGACCGACGATTGGCTTGTTTACGGAACATGTCTTCTTCCTGAAACTTTCCATTTGGCATGCTCTTCTCTGAACAGATGCCAAATCATCCTAATCAGATTCAGCGATTCAATTTTAAAAGGGAGTAAAAATCAAACAAGCAAGCACATACAGTGTTATTATAATTATAATGGCCGGCCGGGAGAAAGAAGCAGAAAGTTGCAGATTAGGAAATGTGCTATCATCAGATCTGATCATATAGCAAACTGAAATTTAGGGGAGATTGTGTTTATTCTCCGGACGCTTAGAATTAATATTACATTTGTGTCAGTATGGAAATAAATATATATTTAACGTTGTTGAATATTATACAAAAACTAATGCTAAAACTATCTAAAACCTAATGATACCAACATAAGCCTATAACAACAACTGGTACACCCATAGCAGGATCCATATACATATTCGCAAGGTACCAATGGAAAAAGTAAGGGTACGTTGTTGATGTTACGAATTTGATCCCTCACACAATTAACACAATAACCAACATAGGCCTAATCGACATAACCAACATAGGCTAGGCCTATAACCAACATAACCTACATAAAATACATAACCAACATAAACAACATAACCTACATAACCAACATAACCTACATAAACAACATATAACACCCATAGGCCTACTTATAACCTAAATAACCAAAATAACCCATATAACCATAATAACCTACATAACCAACATAACCAACATAACCTCTGCACATAACCAACATAATATTTGAACCAATAGCCTACATAACCAACATAACCTACATAACCAACACTTGATCCATGCGCACCGGTGTGATGCTCCAAAATTAGTTCTACGCTTATCTTGACCCAGAACATTCCCTTCAAAACTTAATTAAAACAATTAACCGCTCCTTTAGGAGCCAACATTTTTGCTGATTTGCAAATTTGATTCATTTTGAATTTAAAAGGTCTGTTACTATGCGCCTATATTAATCGGTGAAGAATATTTCGTTATCATTTTCAATTGAAAGCTACCGATATAACTTAATATTATCTTCGTAATTGCAATATGATTCTTCATCCACGTATATTAACTCAAAACAGAGAGTATGTGATTATCTTTATTTGGAATTTCTGATCACGTGAATTGAACGTCATATCAGCATGTACGTCTAATATTTTCCCAAGAATCAGTGTTGTCAGATACGAGTTTGATCATGTGACTAATTCGACTTCCACTGTACTTTTCGAATACGTAACTTTTATTTAGGCGGATATGCACGTCGGAAGTCATTTAATAATTTTCTTTGCATTCATTTACTGTGTATCGTAGAAAAAAAACTTCAATGGGCATATACAGTAGTATTTTATTGATGAAACTATAAGCCTAGAATCCTATTTAGTTTTCCCAACTGAAATAACAGGGAATGTTTATATTTTCTAGGGCAATGATGGTAATATTTAGTTGCTAAGTGCATGCAGGGCCTCATATCATAATCATATCATGGCACCATTGGACTGCTAGGTACTTCGTTATAATTTTCGATATTGAAAGGTACCCGAAGAAGTTATTATTTAATGTGGGTCTGTACCTTATAGTTTGGATTTGCGTAGTTGATACTGCGCTGACATTTCTAGGTCTTGAA